TTCCTTCCTTCCTTCCTTCCTTCCTTCCTTCCCACATATAATATAGGCTTGCACCATTTGCCCTCCCCTCACACCCCTCAGGAGAGTCCCATGAAGCCTCCTCCTCCTCTTTGACTGACCAGTGGAACTGCTGCCATTTTGCTGGGGGGAGGTGGAACAAAGGGAGCCAGAGACTATGAAGAAAACTGCACCCCTGTTCCCCATTCTGGCATGTCCCCAAGGGCCCCCTCCTTCAAGAGAGGAAGAGGGCTCACCCATTGAGCACCAGCACTCTCCAGCCAGCCCTACCTCACCAGCAGGCATCCAAGTCACTCCCTCAACCTTCCCTCAATGCCCACAGCCATTAAGAGATTTCAAATTTCTGCCTCATTTCCAAAGCAGCCAATTGCCATTCGCTCGTTGGGCCTTGCCACCAGCTAACTGGATTCCAGGTACAGACGGAGGTGGGAAAGAGGTCAGGGATATACCCATGACAATCACATGGCCTGGGCTGACCATGGCAACACAGCAGCACAGCAGTGCTGAAGCAGCCACAAATTTCCCAAATTTCAGTCCCATGGGATTTTGGACACATTCTGTAAGTTAGCCCATTTGAGGTACCTTGGTTCAAAAATGTTTGCCCTATGACACCCCATTTCACCCAATTGAAGGTTACAGACACAAGAGTTTAGTAATATATAGATATTAATACCTATGAATTTGATGGAGAACAACACATTTCTTAAAAGGGTGAGAAACAAAAGGCTTGGAAGAGATACCAGAAAAAGGAAGACAAGATTACAAAAGCCCAAATAGCTGAACAAGCAATACTGCTTGATGAATCAGTTGCATAAATTAGCAAGGGCGGTTGGGAAGAAGTTTTCGACAGGCTGGTTTCACCCAGAAGGTGTGCCCATGACCAAAGGGGAAAGAGGCATAGGCAGTTTCATATTTCACAACATCAGAGCTATCCCATGAAATGCAGTTTAAAGGGGATGTCCTGCATTCAAGTTGCTTTACATTTCGTGTTTTTGCTTCAAAATTCAATACTCAAATACAATATAAGAACAAAGCTGCCACATAAGCATTTTATTATTTTTTAATATTAAAAATTATAAAATCTCCAGCCTCCTGAGAGATATTTGCCTCCTCACGTTTCCAAATTAGAGGCCAAAGAGGCATTGCAAAAAAAAAAGGTAGGCAGGACATATAAGGTGCTAATGTACTATTCCTCCTCAAGGGCTGGCCCTATTATTAGGCAAAGTGAAGCAGCCACCTGAGGCAACAGATGCTGGAGACCAGGCGAAGCAGTCCCCTAGCCAGTTTAGC